GGAAATTAGTTTTCCAAAATCCTACCTTTCACTTGAAAGCTGAAATGTAATCATGGGCAACAACTTCTATTACTTTTCTTAAAGTGACAGGCTCACTTTGTTTTCATGAGGATGACTGACAAAAACCCAAGTCTGGATATCTGTAGTTTGCTAGATGCTCTTTTGAGTAAAAATGGTATTACATTGAAAAGCTGCTAAATCAGCTCCCAACTCAAACAATCACACAAGTGCTTTTCCTTGCGATTCCTACTGTGCTTTGGTATATAGAAGTGACATGTATACTCCCCATTTTGTCACACAGAATATTAAAAATACATGGACTCAAAGATCAAGGTTTAATAAAATTAATCATTTTTATTGCTTCATCAAGGACATTTTTAAATAAAACTAGCATTTTTTTTTTTCCTGTGTGACCCACTAGATGAGTGCCCATAGTCATGTTTACTCTATAAGAAGCAAGTTATGTTAGGCTGATTTCAAAGGCTCCTGCAAAAAGAAATTGCCCCTGCCTCAAAACCCTTAACATCACCCCTACCTACTCTGACGGTCTTTAAGTTTCGTTGATTACCTATTCAATCAGGTTTTTTTTTTTTTTTAATTAAGGAGTTTGTGATAGTAAAATTCCAAATATCCATAATGGCTTATTTGGGCTGGCTGTATAACCTTCTCTGGGTAAGCCAGGTTGGATGATGTGGCCATGGTTTGCATGAGAAATAAAATAGGGAATAAAAGTTTGACCTAATGCTCAAAACACCCTTGGAGGCATTAATCAGTGTGCAACTCATTCATTTCAGAAGTTTCAGAGAGCTCAACAGCTCATGGCAGTGGATCTAGGGGGACCCAAAGGAGCAAGGACAGATATTTGGGAAGAAGCCTCAGGAAGGTGAAAGGAGGTTTCTGTGGATCATGACTGGTCACACCCCTTAGGGATACAGCTACAGCTTGGCTGTTAAGCCCAATGAGTTGAGAAGATAAAAATCACGAAGTGTCACTCCTCCTCCCCACACCTCCGCCTCGTGCCCTTCTCCTTAATAATACCCACCACCAGGGTCACTAATTTAATGGGTTAAGCCCCGATATTGATGGACCATATTTTATTAACCAGAGAGGTTACTGTGACTTGAAAGTGGGCTCCCATGCATTGCACTCATATTCTTGCATCAATAAATATGAAGAGCAAAATGGGGCTTGTCTCCCAGGAGAAGTCCTGAGCAGGCTTGTCCTCTTTTCTTCTTTTTTGATTTTCAGTGAATAAGTAAACTTATTACTTATAAGGGGCAGGACCTCCAGACCTGGTCACCTCTCTCCCTCTTTCATGGTCTGGGCACACTGAACAGGCTCCTCCCAAGATTGAGAATTGCAAAATTGAAAGGCTTTTGCCAGAGATCACAGCACTGGATTTAGTTGGGTTTGCACAGCTACTATAAAAAGGTTGTGTGATTCCCATTATGCTGTTAGGAACTCTGTGCAAAACTCCATCAGAAATCCCATGGAGGGGAGAGATAGTACAATTTGAGCATTCCTCAGTCCCTGGCTTTAATACCTTCCTGATATCACAAAGCCCTACCCAGAACCCTTCATACTTCTCTCCCATGTCTGATTCACACCGGCTAAGGTACCCAGCACAATACCTATCTTGTAACAAAAAAATAGGTATCAGATAACTAAATGGAGTACCATCGCTGGTACTATCATTAGCCATTACACAATTCTGTGCAAATCTCAATCAAGGTCCTCACAAACAAAGGGTGATGACCACAGAGATCTGTAACAGCTACAGCTAGCATTTATAGAGCGAAGTATGAGTACTGGTTTATTTACACTTCACAACCTCACAGAGAGGTTGGACATATAATAAGCTTTTCTTAGTGAGCAAACTGAGGCTTAGAAGGGCCAAATAACTTGGCCAAGGTACTGTCTTTCTTTTTGTTTAAAGATTTATTTATTTATTTGAGAGAGAGAGCATGAGTGGGAGGGGCAGAGAGAGAGGGAGAGGGAGAATCTCCAACAGACTCCCCATTGAGAGCAGAGCCCAACACAGGGCTCTATTCCATGACCCTGAGATCATGAGCTGAGCTGAAATCAAGAGTCTGACGCTTAACTGACCAAGCCACCCAGGCACCCCCAAGATACCATCTTTAGATGGTATACTGGAGAGTTGGGGACTAAAACTAGGTCTTCTTACTAGAGTCATAGTTCGTAATTCAATTTTCCAAGTTTTGTAAGCATTTTTATTTCTATAATCAGAAGAAATAAAGATATAGGTGGACATTAGAATTATGCAGCAAAGACAATTATCACCAATGACAACAACAAAAATGAAAACAAAGAAATTCCCTAAAGAAGGGTAAGAAAGTGCTTTACAGAACATTCAGGATTGCAAAGTTATTTGAAACATAAACTAACCACCATTATTCTCAGCCTGTGAACTTTTACATTTTATACTTTGAAAATTCCAAGAAAAACATATGTTATTTATGTAGAGTTGTACCCATGATGCTTCAGATAATATCATTCACTGAAAACTAACTCTCCATTGGAGTCCCCTAATGCCTTGTCATTTTAGCAGGAATTATGAGCTACACTAATGTTTTGTTTTTTTTTTTAAATGCACAGTATAACACTGGACATTTCAAGTTCAGGTCTGTGCTGTGCTCAGATTCATACAGTGTTCTATAGATATTAGGTTTGTTCTCCTATGTGTAATCTACAACATTTGACTCAAAGCAAGGACGTTCATTTTTGCTTATGTCTTCCACTTCTCAGTAGCGCATACAACACTGCATTCAGTCTGTGACTAATAATGACAATAATCTCAATTGATACTCTAGTTACTGGACTGTAGCTCTTAATAGCAACAAAGAAGCCAGTCCACGATCAGGTTCTGAAATTTTATAATTGCTACATGATCAATGGTCAAAGTTACCTCATTTTCAGGTGAAGATCTGAAGACTATTGACTAGCATTAGTGAGCCCTTTCTTCAACATTTCTGAAAAGGTTTCTATCCACCTTGTCATATCACTTAGAAAATCGGTCTCTGAGCACAATCCAAGCAAAATGCATTGACGCCCTAAACAGAATGTTGCATCGTACCAAGTCCTTCACAGCCATGAGCCATTCCTCACAGCAGCCCAGTGAGAGAGGACTCCCTCTTAATCATAGTTCACAAATGGAGACAGTGAGGTAAAGAGAAAGGTATGGTCTGATGGGATCAACAGATACAATGTCACTGAAGGGACTTACATGGAACTCAAAACCGCACAAGTCTCCATTTGCAGATAAGAATCCTGCTACAGTGGGGCCATGCCTAACTCCATGACAGAAATTATCACAGACGAGGGTACCATCTTATTAATACAAATCCTATTACAGAAGACTCGTGCTAAACAAACAAACAAAAATATTAATAATTAAAGTCTCAAATCTACAGGTACTCAGAGTCCCAAAGAAGTTTTATTTTCTCTGAAACACACCTCATTTTCAATCCCACGGAATTCCGTCTCCTCCATCCTCTTCCCCTATGAGATGTTTATGCCCCATTAAACAATCAATTATTTCATTTCTCTAAATTTGTTCAGGGCTACATACTTCAGAAAAGTTTAGGCAGAATTTTGTCTATGGAGTCTTGATGAAGAACCAAGATAGAACAAAACTACATGCAATATTGAGGCTTAAAACATACGTGCAGCGTATGAGCACTGGGTATTTGTTTAAGGCATTTGCAGAAAACTGGATCTCTCAGATAATACCTCACCAAATGCACACATCACATCCTGGGCTTTTTACTAAGAGTACGACCACAAAACTCCTTTAATATACAATTTAAAATCTGGTCTGTAACAAACACTCCCCCTTTCCAATACTTTCCCTTTGGATATCATCAGAAAAAAAATGGCAGAGATAACCTACTTTCTATCCCTAATACTACCCAAGAAGTATGCTTCTTCCTCCAAAGAACTTTCTTCCCTTGAAAACCATGCAGTGGCTCTAAATGATTTGCTACTGTCTGAGTAAAAACTTCTACAAAATTAAACTTCTTAATTTTGATAAATAAAGAACATTACTCAGAGAAGAACTTCAATGACCAGCCCAATCGCTTCTTTTTAGGTGCAAAAACTAAGGCCCAGGGAGGTTAAGAGAGTTGTACCAAATCATATTAAGTTAATGGCAGTGCTGGGATTGAGAAAAACGCAGTCATTGAACCTTCTCCCACCCAGCAATGTGACCTTTCTTGTTCCTGAGTGAATGTACTGGTTTCAGTCCTCATTCCCCCTGCACAGCCAGGGAGAGCGCTCCTCATGGAAGAGATTGCGCATGGCTGGTACATGAAGGCACTGGCCTGCGGGAAAGGGGTAGCTGGCACCATGGGAGCTGTCCTAAGTTTCATCCACACGCCACATCGGGGACATGAGAATCAGGGACTCTTCCTGTCCTCGGGAGCTGACGTCTTTCCACAATAAAGAGCACCAAAGCCAGGATACGTCCGGTAGCAACAGGCTTTAGGATCCTCTAAAAGCTTCCCCACCCCAACGTGGGAAGAAAACGCGAGCCAGTGTTGTCTCCTTGTCTTTTACGGAGCTCCAGTGGATGCTCCCGACAGGACAGCCGAAACTTCTGTGTGACAGGATCAGAAATGACGGGGAATGCTCACCCACCAGAATGGGCTGCCCACTATTACAGGCTGTACATCATCCTACACAACACAACCAGAGTTCCTGGGGGCCATTCACTTCCACTCTCACATTGATTGGACGGTACAGGGTGTCCGGCCTGGATCACACGCTTATTACTCTGTTCTGCAGGATAAGGGACCATGGAGAACATCTCCCTGTTCAAAACACACAAGGAGGAGGCTCATCTTCATAAGACATTCTACTTCTGTGGGGGGGGGGAAGTGGGGGAGGAGGCAGGGCAAGACGAAAAGAAGAAAGAGAGGTAGTAAGAGTAAGAAGGCAGACAGGCATACGTTCTTCTGACTTGAAGAGAAAATGCGGATAAGATTCACACAGCTTTTATTACTCACTTACATCCCTGGAAACCAACAGATGGAATCTCTCATTGCCAAGTTCTAATGCATTTCACGTTCATGCTCAGCATCAGGACACTGGGCCTGCCAAATACTAATAAACTGCAGACAGTGAGGTGAATATCAAGAATCCGCAGCTCCGCCCTCTGCCTCGCTTGCAGGGAGGGAAGCACTCACTCCACATTAGCCGAATTTCCACAAAAGGAGGCAGGTACATCGGTCCAGACATGTAAATGGAAGGTGACCATAAGAAATATTTACTTTTTTAGTATTAAAAAATATAGAGGTGACCCCTAAGGGCAATTCACATCCATTATCTGAGAGGGCTCATTATGAGTACTGCAGCAAGTACTTCTTTTTTTTTTTTAAATAATTTTTTTATTGTTATGTTAACCACCATACATTATATCATTAGTTTTTGATGTAGTGTTCCATGTGCAGCAAGTACTTCTTATCCTAAAGGAGGGTCAACAAAGTAGCTATGATATTCATGTATTAAGGCAACCTAGAAAATAAACCTCAAGAGAGCTCTAGTCTATATCATTCTGACACTTGTAGAAATTAGTCCTTGAATACCAGGGCCCAAAACTCTTGAGCTGAAAAATTTTTATTCCTATCAACCAGCCACCTTAGTGCCTGGGCTTCTTTCTTGGATTGCTCAAAGCTTGGTATCCACATGTCCCGCAAAGAGCTCCAACGTGGAGCCAGAGGTGAGAAAGCAAACACTGCAGGCTCCGGGCAACTCAGGTGCGTCACGTCAGCCTTCCATCTTTTGGGTGGTAAACCCTGTGTTGAGAGAAAGGAAAAAAGAATTAAATATATAAGAAAGCACAAGTCCTGGGTTCCTGCCTCAAAATAACAGAACCCAACATATACTTTTCCTTTTAAAGCAAATATCTTCACTCCATAGTGACACAAACAGTCTCCTGCTAAACGTTTTTACCAAATTCCAGAACACAGGAAAGAAGGAAGAGATTCTACGATCTCCATGAGAGGAGACGTCTAATTCTGAGGATTGGCAGTTAGGATGGTTTTAGATCTCTTGACATTAACACTGGAAGTTAAAAAGCAATGGTAAGACTAACTGATGAATGTGAACATTAGTGGGGAAAACTTTAAGGAGAAAAAGGATACTTGCATAGCCTCAAAATACCTCGCCCCAAATATTTATTCGTTAGACACAGGTCCACAAATTGTTTGATAATTCTGCTCTCAAGGAGGTGGAGCTTAATTCCTCTCCCTTTGAGCATGGCCTGGACTTAGTGACGCACTTAATAGAAAGGGAAAACTAGTAAACTCACAGAGAAAACCTAGCAAATACCACCTTAACCAAATGATCAAAGTTAACATCATCAGTAATAAGTCACATTGATATGATGTGTCCCCTGAGATGGTGTGAAGAGAAGGGCCCTTTCACCCTGCAGTCATATTCCCCCAAATCCATAACCTACATTTTAACATGAGAAGACATCAGACAAATCCATGGAGGGATAGTCTACAAAAATATTGCTCTTCCAAAGTATCAAAGTTCTTAAAAATAAGGAAACTGAATAGCTGATCACAGTTTGGAGGAGACTAGAGACACATGAGAGCTAATTCCAATTTGGTATCTTGGATTTGATCCTGGAACAAAAGATAACAAAGGATTTTAGTGGAAAAACTGGTGAAATATGACTAAAGTGTGCAGGTCAGTTAAGAGCAGTGGGTCAACATTAATTTCTTAAGTTTTGACAAATGTACCATGGTGATGTACAATGTTAACAATAGGGAAGGCCAGGTGCGGGGTGTACAGGAACTCTGTACAATCTTTGTAACTCTTCTGTCAATCTAAAATCATTTCAAAATTAAAAGTCTTTTAGAAGGCGATGCAAAATGCCTCCAAATTCTAAGAAAAATGGATAGTTTACACTCAGCTAAACTATTGCTTAAATGTTAGAGTAGAATGAAGACATTTCAGACATCCTCATGTATCCCTTCTCAGGAAGCTGTACGAGGGTAGGATCAAACAAAAGAGCAGAACTAAGGAAAAGGGAGAGAAGCATGCAAGAGATGTGTCAAAAAAAGATAAGAAAGGAAAATCCCCACGTGCTGGGGAAGGGAGCTCTCAGGCTGGTGCTCCACGCGAGGTGGCGAGGGCAGCCAGCATGCTAGGGAGGCTCAGAAGGCTCTGTGAGTGATTTTTTCAACAAGATGAATGAATTGGATGTCTGGTAGATCTGAAGATCTTCAAAGGAGAGTTAAACAATCAACAAGGAGTGACTGAGTGATACGTACATATAAAAATAATCAAACAAGAAGGCAAATGAGAGGGAAACAAAAAGCTGTCCAGGCGAGGGAAACAAATCACAGTACACTACATGGTTCATCTCAGAATAGCAGGTGCACAATCATGATCACATAAACACTGAACATCAAAAAAAAAAAATGAGTGTATAAGCATGTTATTTAGAAACAATGAATAAATACCAAAATAATTAGCTAAATGTGGTGGTAAGAGATTGCCATTGGGGAGGGGGGAAGGGGAAAATAAAAGACTGCTCTTTTTTAAACTAACTTTGCAGAATTATTTAATAGTTTAAGTTTGTGCACATATATCTTCTAAAAAAATTTAACTCGAAGATAATAGGGTTTATAATGTGTTAGATTTGTAACAATTAGAATCTTCACCCATCAGGAATTTAGAAAGCAGAGGAGAAAAATCAATTTGGAAATACAATAATTTGGGTACCTACCTACAGTTGTATCAACATATTCTCTCTTTGTTAAACCTCCCATTAGAAGCATATTAGAAGATATTAAAGTGTAGCCTGAAAAAGAGATGACTAGAATGCATATGAAGCTTTCTTCAAGCATCTGAAGGGACTCTAAGTAGAAGAATGAATTAACGTCCCTCTTGGAAGAGGGACAAGGATACAGTTGCTCAAATCCTCCCTGCTCTTAGGGACCACTGACAAATGATCATGGAGTTTGGCTTCCAAGGGCCTGGAACTAAAGCACAGTTTCTTTACCAAGACAACACTGAGTGCAGAACACAAATCCAAATAGCAAACCACTAAGAAATGCTAAGACTAAAAATCTGGGAAGTTTAAACAATAATATAAAATAATACAAAAAAATTTTTTTTTCAAAAAACCAGAAGTAGGCTCAAACTGGGGTGACTTTAGCCAGAGTTCATGGCTAGGTAGAAATTGTATTTAGAGCAAGAGTAGAACAGAATCAAGTAAGGAGAACCCAAAGTGATTACCATGAAACAACTTTTGAGAAGCCATTGCTCACATTTATTGACCGATAGGTACAGATGCAAGCCTATAACCCACTGAACTAAAGAGTCAGAAGCTGGTAGCTAAGAATGGACTAGAGAAGGGAAAGTGTCCAAAACAAAGAAAAATATAAATGTCAAAACTAACAGAAGATAAAATGGGCTGCCTTAAAAAATAATGAAATTGCCAACACTGGAAATGTTCCAAGATCATTAGCAGACGACTTGTTCATGATACTTGAATCACCAGTCGGCTGGTAGCCACTCTGACCACATACTGTTGGACGGCCTTCCCAACCCTGACCTTGCATAACTGTTTATATGAGAAAGCCAGTAATAATACTCTGTTTCCTTGCCTGCCCACTCCAGAGTCCATTCAACAGTGTATGACAAAGTTACATCTGAGGTGATATCACAAAGAAAAGAATCTTATGAAATGGACACTTAACTCTAGTGTTCTTGTAGAAATATTTCATAGTACGACCTGAAAGAAGTGTGTTTGATGAAATAGTTATGACATTTTAGAAGTAAGTAAATTTCAGCATCCCAAATGGACTTTCCAGCTGCGGTTCTGGGCAGAAAAACAAGCTGTTTCTAAAGTATGATTAACAAATACTTTGCTTCCAAAGAGGACATGGCTCCTATTTTAACAATAAGGACAAAGTCAAATAAACTATAAATTCATAAATTTCCTTGAGCCCATCAGGGAACTGAAATCACACAGCAACCAAGTAAACTGAATTCCATAGTGACAAGACCCTCTAAAGAGAGATGGATACATGATCTGTTTAACCTTTGACAGAACACAGGAGAAACAGGTGGTCATCATACAAATAGGTAATAAGAAGTCAGTTAAATTTTTAACAAATTCTTAAAGGTGAAGTATGGGCTACTATGCTGGTTTGGAATCCCTAGGAGCCCCAGAACACAAAAGAAGAGTTCAAACCCACTCTAAAGCTCTTTCCCAAGGACCTCCATCAGTTGCCCAGAAGAAAGATTAGGAGCAGAACAGAAAACTGAAAATATTTTAAACTGAATTAACATTAATGTAGTAACCTAAATTTGTAGGAGGTAGCTCAAGCAGTGGTTAGAGGGAATTTTATAGCATTAAATATGTATATTATAAAAGTATAAAGGCTAAAATCAATGACCCAAGTGTCTACCTTAAATTTGAAAAGAGCAAATTAAGCCCAAATTAAGAATAATTAAAATAATAAAGAACAGAAATCATTAAGATATAAAGCAAAATAAAAAATGGTGAAATCAAAAGCTAATTATTTGAATAGATCAATGAAATGGATAAACTTCTATTTAGATTAATCATAAAAAAGACACAAATTAATATCAGACATGATGGAGGTGACATATAGACACTACAGACATTAAAAGAATAAAGGAATACTAATAATGGTATGCCAGTCAATTTCACAACTTGAATAAAATGAAAAAAATATTCCTTCGAAGACACAATCTACCAAAGTTCACTCAAAAAGAAATGAATAAGGGGAGCCTGGGTGGCTCAGTCATTAAGCGTCTGCCTTTGGCTCAGGTCATGATCCCAGGTCCTGGGATCAAGCCCTCCATCGGGCTCCCTGTTCAGTGGGAAGCCTGCTTCTCCTTCTCCCACTCCGCCTGCTCTCTTGCTGTGTCTCTGTCAAATAAATAAATAAATAAAATCTTTTTTTAAAAAAAGAAATGAATAAGAGGAACAGCTTTATATCTATTAAAAACAATTCAATTTATACTTAAAAACTTTCCCACAAAACAAAGAACTACGGATTGATGACTGACTGGTAAATTTAACAAAATATGTAAGGAAAAAATAATACTAATTCTACACAAACTCTTTCAGAACACACAAGAAAAGGAGTTCCTGGGTGGCTCAGTCATTAAGCGTCTGCCTTTGGCTCAGGTCATGATCTCAGGGTTCTGGGATGGAGCCCCACATGGGGCTCCCTGCTCCACTGGAAGCCTGCTTCTCCCTCTCCCACTCCCCCTGCTTGTGTTCCCTGTCTCACTGTGTCTCTGTCAAATAAATAAATAAAATCTTAAAAAAAAAAAAAAAAAAGAAAACACAAGAAAAGGGAACGTGAGACCAGCATTACCATGTAAGAAAACTAGCCAAGGCATTAGGAGAAAAAGATGGAACTGTATACCTCATGAATGTAGACGCAAAAAGTCCTAGCAAAAATTTTAGCAATTCAATTCCAACAATAAATAAGAAGGATAATACATTATAACCAAGTGAAGTTTATCTAAGGAAAGCAAGTCCATTTAACCTTCAAAAATCATCACTATAACTCACCATTAAATAAACTAAAAAAGAAAAACCATATGATCGTCTCAATGGATAGAGAAAATCATTTGACAAATTCCACATCACTCATGATAAAAATCCTCATAAAAGTAAGAACAGAAGGAAATTTTCTCAATTTGATAAAGGGCATCAACCAAAATCCTACAGTTAACATCATAAACAATAATGAAAAACAATATTTTCTCTCTATGACAGGGAACAAGATGAAGA